GGATGAGATCACATTATCAACGAGAAACAGTAGGTAGTCAGCAGTCGGCACTTCAAAGATTAACTCAAGAAAAATTTCTACCCACAGACTCGCCAGATACTTATGAAAAAAGAATCCGACCTTTATTATTAAGTGTAGCAGATAATGATGCATAAACTATAGGATTTCTTAAGAACCACTTATCAGGTAATCTTTATACATGGATGCGAGCTGTCGCTCCTGCTGGTATTAATGCATTTTTTACAAATCTAAAAGACATGTGGCTGGAGCGTGCTTCCAATTTAAATGGAAACCAAAATTATCAGAATAATTCTTCAGCTGAGATTGAAAAGTTAAATTCCCAAATAGCTTCTCTACAGGCCCAACTAGCACAACCGGCTCAAGTACACCTCCAGAATAATGAAGCCTCCGCTATTTTTGAAAAGTTAAATTCCAAAATAGCTTCTTTGGAAGCACAGTTAGCGGAATCAATGCAGGTGCATTCTAAACTTGCCCAACGCTTACAACTACCTGAAAATGTAATTAATTCGAATAATGCTTCAATCCTTGATAGTCATATTAACCAAGAATTGGAAAAAAGATTAGGAGTAATCGAAATTAATTTAGCCAAACTCACCAAACTCATAAGAGAAGATACCAAATCAGCTCAGTATCAGTATTCAGAATCCTCAGACTATAATAATGGAGGATTGGAAAAAAGATTAGAACGAATTGAAGCCCACTTAGCCAAATTTGATAGAAATAATACCAGAGGTGCCAAAACATCTCAGCGTCAACGCTCGGAGTCCTTACCTTTTGGAGGATTAGAAAAAATATTAGGAAAAATCTAATCCTTATTGGATAAACTCACTAAAGATTCCAAATCCAGAAGTAGTCGAGTTCATATGGCTACAGTAGATGAACAGTCTGATCCCATTTTTTCTGATGATGATACATCAAAATCTGAGGACAATGATTATAACTCTGATAATTCGTCAGCCGGTTCAGACCCCGGAAAACGCGATATGAATGTTTACATAACTCATGGAAAAAAAAAGTGAATTACGCGGTCCCTTTAGAACCCGCTGGGCAACGTGGATATCCCGATAAATCCTCAAAGTCTAAAGTCTCTAGTAAATCTGAGCTTTGTAAGGTAAAGCAAGACAATAATTTGTCTTCCACCCATAATGCTTCATCAGATAAAGATAGTCATGGTAAGCATGTGTCTTTAGAAGAAACTATTCGAAAAATCATTCAGATCGAATTTGAGAATTATCTTCTGTACATAATTCAGCAGGCTAAAAAGTGTGTACCTGCCTCAGCTCAAGATTCAGATGAAGAGGATATTTTGGATGGACCTATGGAGATAAATTTTATTCGGAAAAAAGAACCCGCCACAGATGTTGTCACCGTTAAATGTAAAATTAAGCGTCTAGTGATTCTGGCAGGTACAGTTGATCCTGGTGCTAATTTTCCGATCATGTCTGAAGATATATCTGAACAATCAAAGCTGAAAATCGATACAAAAGAAAAACATGACCTTAGAGGCATCGCTACCATTCCTATAGAATCTCTTGGTACTGTCCGAAATGTCCCAGTAAATTTTGCTCCCGGATGTACTATATATGCTGATTTTGCTGTAATTAAGTATCCTAAGCCGATGCTAATTTTACCCAACACACTTCTTGATAAATATAATTATGATTTACTTGCATCAAAGCGGGAATTGAGACTAGAGTGTAATGGTAAGGAATTTTTTATCCCAATTAATATGCATAAGGTTAAGAACAAGCTCGAGGTGAATTGCGCGAACATTACTCCTGAATGTGACGATTCCATGATCCCGGACTGCATTTCACAGGACTTAAGTGAGGATGGCGCATTAAAAAAAAAGTGAGTTATGAGGAGCTTGAAAAAATGTTATTTAGCGCTCTTAAGTCTAAAGAGGATCTTAACGAATTGTGTGAGAAATTATTAGTACGCTATGATAAACTAAATGGGAAATATCTTCTACACGGCTAGACGTCTATTCACCTCTGCTTTATTTTTTTCATCTCTCTTAGCTTCTTTTTCATAAAATGCATTCAGATCCTCTCTGCTAATATTTAAACCTTCAGAACCCTCTGGGCTTGTAGCCGTTGGCTGATTCTGGGTAATAGATGGTTCAGAGATTCTAACGGATTTGGACTTGGGTTTCTTTCCTCCATTCTTTTTTACCTTACTCCCAGAAATAACATTGCATTCCACAAGTTCTGCTTGCTGATACGAACCAGGTTCTTCTGACAGTAGTTTTATATCTTTAGGGTCTATTGGTGGGTGAGCTCCTCTCCAAATTTGATACACCCGCCGTGTTGATATTTTGTATTTGTTAGCCATGACTTCTGATGCCCGCTTCGTTGAATTTTTAGCTTTAATAATATCCTGGATATCTTCAGCAGATAGGGGGGTCGCAATACCGAAGCATTTTTTACAAATAGACAAAAAAAAATCTTTCAAAAAATTACCGGTATATTTTCGATATTTTTTCGGTATTCGTTTGATTTCTGTTCGGTATTATCGATATATTTTTGGTAGATTCGGTGTATTCGGTGTATTCGATATATTCGGTCTAAAAAATTTGCCAAGTAAAAAATTTTCAATCGCATGTTTTTTTAATATACTAGCAACTAAGCCGAAAAAAAGGCTATGACCAATGTGTATACCTTGAAAGATATTAATAATAAAGGTCATCGGCTTGGTAGTGCGTATGAGCAAGAGCTCGAAAAAAAATTGTATGCCACTCTTAGTTCTAAAGCCGAAATTAATGATCTTTGTGAAAAGTTGTTGGCTAAAAATTCAGAGTATTCGGAGCGAGAGGAGGATATTGGAAATAAGATTAGCCAGTTAAATGCATCCAGTACTAAAGTTAGATCCCAACTCATTTCTGAACAGAAGTCTCATTCCGAAAGTCAACGTAAGCTTGAAGCCAAATATACTGCCGAAATCAAATTGCTCAAATCAAATATTAAAACACTAAAGAGAGGGGCAACTTTGGCCCAGAAAGTTTCGTCCGCTGATAAGGTCCAGATTCTTTCTCTTAAAACTAAAATACGTGAATTGGAAGGTAAGTTGGAAGACATAGATCTAGAGCGCACATATCATGATTTGGATGCAATGGGAGGGAAGCCGGCCCAAATAAGCTCATCTGAAATAGAATCTCTCAGGCTTGAATTGGAACATGCGAAGGAGGACCGTAATTCGAAAGAATATACAATAGAATGTATGGAAAAGGGGATAGAGTCGTCAAATAATATATTCAAACGGGAAATAGATGCTTTGTATTCAGCGCGATCAAAATTAAGGGAGGAAAATAGGGCCTTCAAGGACCAGTTAGCGTTAAAGAAAAATACTTCATCCCAAATAATTTCGAGTGAGGGGATTCCTTTGGAATCAGGTGGCGCAGAAGTAGTACCATTGTCCCAAGAAATACCTCTAGCATCGGCTATTCCTGTCGTTGCGAGTTCTCTAATGTCGCCCATGATAACATATTCCATGCTTGCCTTACTACTGATTGTGGTTATATGGCTCGTGGTCAGGAAATGGTGGAATCCATAGGGTATGAATGAAAAAAATGACCGATACTTCACACACAAAAAATATATAAATAGGCCGGATATTTATTATCTCAATACCTAATCGACTACCGTATAAGTACTGGCACAAGCGGGACTTCTCTGAATCTTCTTTGGATGTAGGCTAATACTTTTTTTGATAAATCTTTGGGCGGATTTATTAATATCTTTTTAGCTTGGGCCAGTGTACATGCAAACAACCATCCAATATGGATCTGGTTACCTCCCTTACCATTATGACCGTGTTGTAGTAAATATTGATAGTCATCCATTACAATATCTCTCATCCCTTCCTGATCCGCTATTATTTTGCGAAATAACCATCTATCATCTTCTGTGATCGGGAAATGGATTTTGTTGGGTTCGAAGCCTATGTACTGGAAAACTTGGTCACGTAGTTCGGCCATTATACCAATAAAGCTTATCTTTAAAATATGTGGATTTTTCGGCTGATCGTTAACATTGTTAATGAAGTTTTGCCAAATTAAAATACTAATGATCATCTCTAGACATTTCTGAGGTCGGGCTGTATGATCGGAGGGATGGATCTCTCATGTTCAGGGTCAGAAGATCGATTATAGGAATTGAAGTTAGCCAGTATTATTGCACGAGAAAAAAAAATATAAATAATATTGTATAAGTTCTCTTAGCAGATTGTGGGAATTTCGGCTAAGAGTACTATCTATATAATTCATTTAAATGCTTTGCTTTAACACCTCCGGCTCGACCACACCTTCAAGATGGAAATACCATAAATTAGTAATGTCATCTAGCGCCTCAATTTCTGATATGTGAGGTAAGGCTGGTAAGTCAGTAATTATCTCATTTTTTTGCATAGACGAGACTGGGCCAATTTTTTCTGGTATGGATATATGCTCTTTATAACGCATATGATAGACCAATTTGTGAAAGAATAAATTATACCCTTCAATACATTTTGCAAGCTCACTAGGATATCGAGCAAAATCAGAGCATATTTTTTCCTTCATTTCGCCATCCACCGAGAGGTTTTTATCTTTTGTAAGTTTCCTAGCGCATTTCATGAATCTCTCCTATAATATCTCAATAGGATTACTTCCCATAAAAATCTCGTAGCTAAGCCATTCGCCATGAAATATTTCGTATAAGTACCCTATCTTATGATATAACATTTCTTGTGCCTTTTTGACCGCAGTTCTGTAAGCACGCTTATAAGCAATCCCACGAGATTCCATCATCTTGGAAGTAACACCATTGACTATGATATTTTCTTTTACGAATCCCTCAAGCCATAACTTGGCCTTGTTTTGAGCGTAGTCATCAATTTGCTTATATTTCTCATCCGGGTCTTTGATTCGCATGATTCGACTTGAGGGTTCTGGCTCATACTTCTTGTCATACATGATAAATCGGGCACAGAGGCCAATAATAGTTTTTTCGAAATAATGGTATAAATCTAGTTCCTTTCCCAATTCCTTAGCTACATCGGCGAATTCCATTTTTTCGCCTTTAGTTGGTTTTAACTTTCTACCATGTAAATCAAAGGTAGTATCGGGATGGGTTACTACATAACTAAAGCGCTCACCTGGTATCGGAATTTTACTATCATATTTTCCTCTCATTCTTCCTATAAAACGTTGGATGCTAATATTATTTACATCAGGTTTCCATGCATCAGTCTCTATAAACTGTTCGAAATTCCATTGCTCAGTATTAATTATAGCGTTCCTAAGAACGTCCTCAACAATTTTATGGAGAGGATGCTCGTTGTTGATATCCCTAACTTCATTCATAATCCGATCCCCTATGGTTTTGAAAAGCTGGGATTTGCCTTGTTTTACAGTATCAATTCCTCTTATGAAAGGGTCCTCCAGACTGAAATTTACTGCATCTTCATGCTTGGTGCCGAAATATTTTTTCTTCCCAGTGAAGACTACTGGGAATAGCATTTCTTCATAAGCCATTTCGAGATAACCCGATCTGGTTTTTAGCCTAAGAAAACTGTTTACTTCATTACGCAATTTCTCCATTACGCCCATAGTAATTGTGACCATTTCAGTCCAGTACTCTAGTTTCGAAATTGTGCCTTTTCCGCCATTATAGGCCAGATCACATTTCTCATAACAAGAATCTGGGCAAGTGAGATATAGGGAATCAGTATCCCCGTATTTTATCCCAAAGCCCTTCTTTTTCACGAATTCTGCGACGAGTTTGATATTCTCTCGCCCAGCTAAAGTAACACCTCCAGCAAGTGCTAGTGTATAGAACAGGGAATCACTTTGGGCAGTCACACCATAGAACGAATTCATATATAATTTAATCGCCTTCTGCTTCGAATTTAAAGAATTGTATTCAAAACAAATAGAACTATATTCTTTCATAAAATCATCATATGATAAATCAGCTCTATCAGAGCTCTCCTCCTGAATAATAAAGGGACTTAGGATCTTGGTCATCTCTGCGTGCCTCTCAGTATTTTTTACAGAGGATAGAACATCTTTGATTGCTTCCACTACCAGGAAAGATCTGCCAGTTTAATCCATTTTACTTTTAACTTTCCCCATATATTCCTTTTTCTTTCTGAGAACTTTAAGTTGGGCCTTTAATTCATTCCGTATATTGAGCAGATTTTTCAATATTTTTGTAAATAAACCTTCCTGATCAGATTTATTTCCATGCCGTATGGTCCAGGCTCACACAGGTTTACCGCCATACTTGAACTCGATACTGTAAAGCACTTTGTTCTCTCTCTTTAACTTATCTACTTCCGAAAGTGTTGAGACCATCTTCTCGGGTGAGAGGTTGTAAGTCATAATTATGCTAGGATACAAGGATCTAAAGTCTAAACCAGTGACAGGTCGCTTATTTTCAAGACCCTTTTCTGGCGGGAACACATACGCTTCTGGAAACTTCCCAGATGCTTTCTGATTGGAAATTTTCGTGGTGTATAGAATGTCCTGCGCCCAAGCTTCAGTGCCTAAGAGATTGGATACTTTCGTTCCTATAGCATAATAATGTGAGTCGAATAATTATATATGAGCGATTGAGGCCACCTCTTTGTAATCATTTATAACATTAGATTTGATTATGAGCTTCTGACAACGTAAAGCATCTATAACACAATAATTTATGATTTCATGCATATGTTTTTTGGAAGAGTCTGAAGCCCTGTCTTTCGCTTCTGAATAATACTTCCATAATTTGCTCATGGGCATATCGGCTTTACCATCGAGACCATATTTTTCTAAGAAGTATTTTAGTGATGTTTTCTCAGAGCGGGGGTGAAGTTGCATAAAACTTGCGCGAACATCGATCAGTACACACCCCGGAAGTTTAAGAAAGGAGGATTCGAAAGTCAAAGAGGGATTGATTTTGATATTGATAGATTCTCGTCCTAACGCTTTTTTGATACCTCTGTCCTCTTTCTTTACGTACTGGTCCCTTCGGAAGAAACCATTAGTTAGTGGCTTCCCTTTTCCGCCAAAATAATTCCAAATGAGGATAGATTCAGCATCAGCTTTCTTATGCGGGATTGCCGACATTCACTGGACCATCCACTCGAGAACATTTAATTTGGTGGCCTTTTCCACAATGAAAGGCCAATCGTATCCTGAATCATTAAATCCAAGTTCGATGTCTGGGGCAAAAGTTTTCCAACATAAAGCGAACGCCTTTATTATATTAGTCTGGTTTCCGCATATAATCGTAATCCAGCGCGGGTCTGGTTCCGTTTCTACATCAACTAAACATATCCGCTCTAAGGGGATTGGATCATCTTTCCAATGCAGGGTCATACAGATCGCAAAAACTTGAGATGTGTCATTTTTAGCTTCTGGGAAGTTTCCTGACCCACACAAGTCGTATGTTTCTATATCCCATGTTAGGACTAATGCTCGATCATGGGTAAAGAGAGAAGATGGGTATATTTTGTAAAATGGTTCAAAATTGTCTATAGGACGAAAGTTTTCAATGTGGACATAAAATGCATGTGGACAATGTTGGGATTTCACATAATAAGGTGCACTGAAATTATATCTATAATCACTTATTAATTCCCACCCGGAAAGAGGTATTCTATACTCTCTCGCAACTTTACGATAATATGTGCCTGTATCGTCTGAAGCTGTCTCTATTTTACATTCGGGATCAACCTTTGAATTGTAACTTGAGATAATATCGAGAGCGGTGAACCTTAGATCTTTATTAGGTGTGACAATGCGAAGATATGGCTTTTTTTCTGTATGGTATCCACGAATAGGATATGCCTTTATACATTCCATCTGGATTAGATTCATGTTTACGGTCTTCCCTCGTTGTTTTTCCCAGTAGCAAGGATGCCCTTCACTTTAGACCAGAATTTAGGGATACTTGTATTGCTGGGAACACGAATATCAAAAAATACCTTGATACCGGTAATGGTGACAACTGCTTTCTGGCCATTGACGAGATACCCATAGAGGCGAAGAATATAATGAGGAATTTGATTAAAATATTCTTTAGCTTCTTCTATGTCGACCGGCATGAATGGAATACCTCGATGGTTCGCTATTTCGTCATTGAGAGTTGAAGTCGAGCTCCCATCATTTCTCGCAACAAATTCATCACGAGTTGGGAGGCCTGACAAGTAATTCTCACTTCCATATCTGATTACCTGACCTGATGTTTTATCTTTTTCAGCATCTGGGCGAAAAAGGGCAATGGCGTCAGAGGAGAGGAACTCTGAAAGCTCGGAATGTTCGGTCATAATATTATATAACAAATATACAGTTCGAGAGAAAGTATATACTTCGGGAGAAAAAAGTTCAAAATGAAAATTAATTCCGAAATATATAAATCGATACATAATCGAACTATTCATAGTTATAAAAAATGACATTTTATCGATGTCCATATATTCTTAGGACCGGAGAAGTTTGTAATCGGGGTGCTTCCATCCAAAAGGGTGCCAAATACATCGGAATTCTCCCTTATATATACCTTGCATTGAATGTGGTAAACGAACTTATTCTGGATATGAGTTTTGCGATCTACATGCTAGAAAGCACCGTAAAAAGGAACAATACCATCAGAAAAAGCAGGCTAAGATAGCTTCGGCGGAGATATTGGTAGGTAATTTAGAGGTAAACAAAAATAATACAGTTTGTCACTAGAAAAAAGATGTCACTGTCACTGAGAAAATCTTGGTGACGCCCTTGGTAACGCTTTTGGTAACAAACTTTATAGCTATTTCAGATTTTTAGAACTCTCAGACGGTTTCTAGATGGGTGTCACCATGTCACTAAGAGTCACTAAAAAAAATCAAACTTCTTTACTTTTTATTTTTTTATCTATGGGTATAGTAAAAATATAGCATATATATAACATATATATAGCATACCGATAGATATACCATACTGATAGATATACCATAGAAAAAAATTGATTTTTCCCTAGAACTTTACTTTTTCTTAGTGACTCTTAGTGACATAGTGACAAATATAAAGGAAGACAACCGAGCATCTCCAAACTCCAAAAAAAAGCATACAAGGGTGTCACTAAGAGCGTCACTAAGAGTGTCACTAACAAATTTTCTTGGTGACGGCATACATACAGGATGGATTCGATATTTTTTCCTATAACTTTACTTTTACTAGAGACATTAGGGACGTTCAGAAAAAATAGCATACACACTGCCTCGACCCCAGTTTAAACCATGATTGGACTTCGGAAGTGCCCATTGCCTTCGATATCAAAATTAGAGATGCAAGACCTTAGCAACCAAAATATCGGCAACTCTCTCAATGCCCAAATCAGTCACCAAAGGTCTTGGCATCCAAAGAATCAGCACCCCTTTCAATACCCAAATTCAGGATGTAAAGGCCTGGCAATCTAAAATATCAGCATCCTCTCGATATCAAAACTAACCACCAAACAGATGTAGAAAGGTAATAACACCAATATAAAACAGGGACAGTTTGGTACAAAATGTAGTCTACATATGCCCCATAATCTAGATTAGGACTTATCACAATTGGAACGATAAAATCAGTGAAAAATGTAATAAAAAAACAGCTAATAAAAAGAAAATCTAATAGGAAAACAGGTGACATGGAACAGTTATTAGTCTAGTAAGTACATTATAGTCTAGAGCAAGTAGATTATGTCCTCAGTTTTAATTGTCCGTACTGGTCCATACTATATATATATAGTATGGACCAGTACAGACAATTAAAACTGAGGACATAATCTACTATACGTAGTACCAGTAAATGTGTAATGTAGCATGCTTTTTTAACATATCTATTTATTCCAAACAGCTTTGCTATGCGTTTAACGCCACATGTTGTTGGAGATTTAAGTATAGAAGAAGCTAACCAATTTTTTGGAAATCATGTACTTGAATACTATGTTATTTTTTTTTTAATCTTTAATATTTACCTAGATAAAATATTTGGAACAATGAATACTAAAATAAGTAATAATATTACATTATTAATAAATAGATTGTCCGGTACTTAAACCCTATTTTGATGATGTACGACGCAGCTTTACTAGTACACGCATGTCTCTCATTTCCAAATATGTTCGTGATCATAGTACTGGTAGGTTTGGTACGTATTAAATTTTTTAGTACTATGGAATATGGATTTAATAATCAAAATATTAAAACATCCGATATGTTATTTACAGTGGATTGGTTTTACGATCAAGAATTTATAATAAGGATGAGACAGGATTTGAATCCTGAATCTCATGCGAAGTATGATAATATTCCTGTTTATTGGGAAAAATCCCATTTTATTACAGCTATGAAAGCTTTAGTAGAAGCAGAAGATCAAGGATTTATTCTTGAAGATGATTTGATAAAAGAAATTGGTTATAAAGCAGTTCGTTCACTTGTTGATTACAGATATTTATACCGACGACCAAATTTTGGTCTTAATAGTGATTTAACTAATCCTCCAGCAGAGTCAAAAGTAATGTTAACTCCAATGAGTCAACTAACATTAAATGCAGCAAAAAAACTATTAAAAAAAAATAATTAATTTCAATAAAGTTAATTTGCTTATTATATCTGAATATAAAATATAAATAAATTTTAATTTATTTATTTATTTAAGAATAGCATTATTATGTTGTTCATATAGAATACTAAACTTAAAAAAATAAATACTTGCGCCTGAACCAGAATGAGCAAGCCATAAAAATTCTGACTCAAGTTCATAAAAATTTCATCTAAGCCAAGCCAAACTTAAGCTGGCTTGAATAAAAGAAGTACAGTTCAGAACCTCTATAATCAACAATTAATAGATATGACAAAATTTATGAAATATAAAATTCAAATGTTAAATCAAATAATTAGATAGTTTTTTATATAAATATAAATTGGTATTTAACAAATTAGCTTAAAATAGTACCCAATTTACTATGAAATCAATAAAATTAATAAAATTGAGATTTGAGACTATATAAAATTTATGAAATTTATAATTTTTATATTAATAAAATACAGTCAAACCTCTATATACCGATATAGATGTTTTTGGAAAAAAATATCGGTATATCAAAATATTAGTACATTATGAAAATTTATATACCAATATTAATAATAAAATGTAGATTAATATCGGTATATAAAATTTTATATAAAATTACAATGTATTTTAAATTATTTAATAAAGTAATTTCATTTAAGTCAAATTCTAATAAAATATTTTGAAAAAATATCGATATATTATTTATATTTATTATATTAACATATTAGTGTATATTATATAAAAACTATATTAAAGGATTTGAACAAAATTATCTAACGTAGTTTGCTTTAAGTTATTAACATGTAATTTTAATACTTGATGCCTTAACTTCTGCAATACACTTAATTCATTTGGGTTAATACAAACATCCGATGAATGTTTAAAAAATAAAACAAGATCATCCAAATAACCTAAAGCTTTTGTTTTGGGAATTACTACTGGAGGCTCTTCATCTGGATCCATTTCTAGTTCATTATTATTATTTGACTTTATCATAGACACAATTTCATCATCGGTTAACCCTTCATTACTTTTCAAACAATCATTCAATATGAAGAAATTCATCTGCATCCATAAGATTATCAAATGGTAGTTCGTTAATTAAATCTTGTAATTCCATTTCATCATGTAATGCTTGATCTTCAATTTCATCAATTTCGTCCATTTCATTTATTGGTAGAATTCCTGTATGTTTCCAACAATTAATAATGGTTTGTTGACTTACAGAATTCCAAGCGTTCACGCTGAAATCAATAGAATCATGAATATTTATGGTAGTAGGCTCTTTGTTAAGTTCTTGTGAAATTTCATATGCTTCAATTCTATTTCTAACAAGTAATTTCCGGTACTGTGCCTAAATTATTGAGAGTTTATCATGAATTAAAATAGACTTCGTAAAAAAATTAATATTGCAAATTAATAATAAAAATTACTAACTTTAAAGGAATTAATGATCCCTGCATCGCATGGCTGTAAATGAGATGTAGTATTTGGTGGCAAAAAATGAACTACCACATTTGTTAAATTAACATCTTCATTTATAATGTGTACGGGAGCATTGTCAACAAGTAAAAGGATATTGCGATTTTGTAATCTAATTTGCCTATCCAATTTTTTAAGATAATCGTTCCAAATACTAACTTGCATCCATGCAGTTGAATTCCAGTAATAGTTTACCGGTAATTCTTCTTTTTTTTCCCATTTAATGCTCGCGGATTCTGGTATTTATGGATAAATAATGGTTTTAATTTTTCAGTACCGGTAGCATTGCATGTAAGAAGTAGAGTAACCCGCTTTTTAGATTTCTTTGTTCCTGAAAGAGGCCCTTGTGCTAATGTTTTTGATGGTTCAAGATCCCAATACAATCCTAAAATAAACAAATCTTAAAATATAAAAAATAGGAGCTTTATTGGGAAAAACAATCTTACCTGTTTCATCACAGTTAAAAACATCATTTAAGTCATAATCTTTAATAATTTCACGTAAAATACCTCTTTCTTCATCTAAGGTTTCTAATGGCGCACTTTTGGCTTCACCCCACTTAATATATTCTTTTAAATTATGGCGTCTTTTGAATTTGTCAATCCAACCATTAGAAAATGAAAATTTATTGATTTCAAATTGCTGTGCAAAATATTTAGCCTTTTCACGTAAAATATCAGTGTTAATGGTAAGTTCTGCAGCAAGTGCATTTGTTACCCATAATGAAAGGGCTTCTTCTACTTGAGGAAAATAAACAGGCCTCTCCTTCTGTTTATTTGCGTCTTCAGAGTCTGGGTTTACAAGTAACCACTTTTCTTTTTTTTTTAAAATATCCGAAACAGTATTTTGCTTAACTTTATATAAAACAGCAAGTTCCTCTTGAGTATGGTGTGGCGTTTTCTGAGAATCTAAACAGAGTTGACGCTTTTGTGCATATGTCAATACAACTCTTTTATTTGGTTGGAAGGTATCTTGAACAGACTTCCTTTTTCTTTGTTGTTGAGATATCATTACTAGTTAAAACATGATGTGTTAAAACAAAAAAAGCTAGTATATATACTGGTGTAACTTGAAATATCGGTATATAGTACTATATATCACTTATTAAGGGACAAAGAAATTGCATCGGTATATATTACATTGTGAAACAATATGTAATATCAGTATAGTGAGGTTTTTTTATTAATTGTGAAACGGGACAAGGGAAATTTATCAGTATATGTCAATTATCAGTATATAAACTATCAGTATATCGAGGTTAGACTGTAGATATTAAATTATTAATAAATACATTGGAAAAAAAACTTAGAACTCTTTCCACCGATCGCATAGACCATTTTTTAACGAAATTTCAGCAATAATATTTTTGAAAAACTTATTATAAAAAATGGCTTCCTTCACTAACAACTTTACTTTAGAAGAACTTGGGAACTTTTTCAAGCTACTCAACAAAGAGATGTTCGCTTCCTTACTAGAATAAACGTTGCAAGTTCTTAGGATAACTAGCGTAACTGGCATTTATCAAACTGCTACAGACTTCGAACCTGCTATATATAAGCGTTTGAAAGGACTACAAACTACATATTCTGACGAGTTCTATGAATTGGGTATACCCAAAGATAGCTTCAACACTTTTTTTTTCTTTGCTATTAATTTCAAAGACACGTATACATGTCTTCTCTATTTATGAGACGGCAAAGAATTATATGGGAAAAAAAGAAAAGATATCACGTGAGATGCAAACAATAATAAATACACCCAATAGAGTTCTAGGAATACTGGATTTCACTCCAATGGAAATGCAAATTATTGAAGAGCCTAAACACCAATCACTGGTTGTATTCCCTGTGACATAAACAAACTTAATGTACAAGCTCAGCCGTATACCTCAAGAGGAAAGAAGTGCGTGATATATGCCGATATTGCAAAAGGTTCTGGTTCTGACGATTCCCAGCCTACGTCACTTTTCCCTGAAGATAAACAGATCAACGGATCACCTAATCTACTTCTAAGAAGGGTAGTACTAACATTAAATCACAGCAGCAGAAGACTAAGAAGTCCAAGCTTACACTGGAGAAAATGATTTCAACTGTTATGACCAGATATACACCAGAAGATAAGGTTAACGTTCACAAGATAGTTATTTATGATATCCCTCCACCATGCCGCAACTTGATATTCTTACGAATCTAGAGAAATGGAGTCAGGTAATTGCGTTCAAAGTAAAGATGCAAAAGAAGTATTCGACTATGACCATATCTATTGACTTCAACAAGTGGGCTTTGACGAATTGGAATAATGAAGTTTGGACAGCTCCGTTTGGAGAAATGCCTGTACAATGGTTTCCTGCGTTCTGGACTCTGAAGCAGCGTAAAGAATGTAAGAGATTTCAGGTTGTAGTTATAGATATTCCTAAAACTGTTACTAACAATATAGTATATAACGCGGAAAATCCAACCCAATCGATGCTATCACAACTAGATGGTGCTTTAGCTTTTAGGATTATTCAAGACCGTGGGCATAGGAAGTTAATTGTGTATTTCGACACTTGGGCTAGCCTGGATAAAGCACTTAATATAGATTTCAACTTTGAAGAATTTAAAGATGTTTGGACTTGATATTTTTCGCCTATCTTGAATCAGCCTAGAAATAAGCTACCAAAAAAGACGGATTCTAGTCAGAAGCAGAACCAAGACAAGATTCTGAATATTTTGCAGAAAGACATAGATAGACAGAAATAGAAAGGAAAGTCTTCGGAAAAAAAGAAGTAATCTACTTCAAATAATAAAGGCTTCAATGGCAACAACAAATTATTAATTTTAGCTGAAATTAAGGCATTGCTAAGATCACTAGCTAACTGACGGGAGGACTGAGCCAAATAGGAGTTTTGGAATATTGGTATACTCGCCATCTAATCTACATTTTATTAACCCTTTTTTTTATCCTGAATTTTTGTTTTAAAATCCTTTTTTTTTCCATTTATATCATAGTAGGTTTTGCTGAATTTTCTTAAGACTGAGATTGAGAGAAGAGGCATCCCCTCTAAGAAAGGATAATTTCACATTGGACTTACTCTCATAGTCCCAAATTCACCTGACAGTACATACGTGAGGTCCTTTTATATGATGACGAGTGGTTTATTAATTATCAAATTAGTTTAAATTTATATTGTATTATTCATATATGTATTGACGTGAATTTTATTTTAATAAACTAATAAATGTGCTGCAGCGACAAAAAAAAAAAATAAATACATTGATTTACATTTATTTTTTATCATACATGTATTAGTAAAGAGTAATATAAATCACATGACTTTCAAATTCTAAATTTCAAATTTGAGGCTTTTTTTTTATTTTGTAAATTGATTTTTTTTAACAAATAAAGTACAATATATTTACTAAGTTAAAATTTAATCATTAAAGTTGAAAGCTTAACTGTTTTTGCAAGTTACAGATTATAAATTGTAATTAGTAAAGTCTAATTGTGATATCATCTTTACCAATCATAGAAGCAAATTTTATTTAAGATTTCAGATTTTCTATTAAATAATATTTTACTACTATTTTACTAATATTTTTTTTTATAATAAATAATTCCTTATTATTCTTTAATTATTTTCAAAAGACTAAAAAAAAATATTAGTAATATTTCTATAATAATAAAATAATTTTTACTTTTAACTTATAATTTTTGAAATCCAATTACTCCAATATTTAAAAAATAAATTTTAGGTTTAAAAAAGTATTTTTAAATAAAAATAATAAATAATATTTCAAAAATAATAAAAAATATTATTTAAATTTTAAATTTAAAAATCCAAAAAAAAACTTTTTAAAAATATAAATAATTATTAATATATAAAATATAAAAACAATCAAATTATTTAATAAAAAAAATTATTTATATAATAAAAAATTTTTTGTATAATTATTACTTTTACAGTATTCTGTATAAATTGTTATATCTTTACTTTTTATTTTTAATATAATAACAAAAATAAAGCAATATATAAAATAATTTTTTAAAAAAAGTAGAATATATTAATACTATAATAACTATATATAAATTATTAGTTAACTCCAAAGAAATTATTCTGCTAATTAATATTAAAAACTTCAAAATATAATCAGTTTTATATTAAAATTTATAGTGAATTTGATTAAAACTATCTGATCTAATATAATTATATTAAACCAGTTTACCTAAATTATAGAAATATGGTTAGATTATATTGGTATACTTAGGTTATAGAAGTATAATTAGATTATATTGGTATATTTAAATTATAGAGATATAGTTAATTATATTAGTAAACTTAGATTATAGATTTAAGTTAAAGAAATATAGTTATATACATACCATCCAAATCCTAAATAATTTCAACATGATTTTAGCAATCAATATTGGCCAAGCAATTTGGTTACAAAAAAACCGTAGAGTAATAAAAATAAGTAGTTAGCTAGAAGGAAATAAAAAGAGAACAAAGTAATAAAATCAAGTAAATATCTATAAAGTAATAAAAAAGCTATAGAGCAATAAAATTAAGTGGATAGCAATAAAGCAATAAAAAAACCATAAAATATGAAAACAAGCAAATAGGTAACAATTTAATCATAACCAGATAACAATTTAATTATAACTAGATAACAATTTAATCATAACTAGATAACAATTTAATCATAACTAGATAACAATTTAATCATAACTAGATAACAATTTAATGCAACTAGATCATAATATATATATATTATGACTTAGTACTAATTTTGTGCTTTTTTTACCTATTTTTTATTATTAAATTTGTTCAAAAAATACATTTGCACTGTCATAGAACCTGTTGCTGGTAAGTGAATTGTAATAATTTTAGTTAACATGAGTAAACAGTATTTGACTTAGCTTTTAATACTTATACTGATTTTTTTGCTGTTATAATTTAATTTATTTATTTTTATTACATATAAACTTTAAAAGATATGGAATTTAATGCAAAAACAAGTGATTTTAAAAGTTGGCCAAATTGAAGATACCAAATTTTTTGGATTAAATAATCAATTATTAAAACTGTTTATTTATAATTATTACAAAAATCTGTTTAAAACCATTTTAAAATATGAAATAAAAAAATTACGTATCTTGGGTAATCTTGAAATCAGAAAAACATTTTTCAGTTATTACTTACTTTATAATTATCTGATAAAAAATGCAATGATTGTATATAATCTCCATATTATAAAAAATAATGTTATCCTTTTTAAAGAAGGTAAGAGTTTCTATTTTAATAAGTTTCTCAAGTATAAAACTATAAGAAATTACCTAATATTTAATATATAGTATTGTTGATGGAAAAAAACCAAATAATGCTTCTGTTGTTAAGACAATTCTTATTTCTTTACCAATATATTTCTCTACTAATTAATTACATCATATTTCAGTAAACGGACCAATTTATTATTTATTATAAAATTATTATGAATTAATTATGTCTGTCAAAATATATTACATCTGTCAAAATAAATTTATTAGTATTTTGTTATTTTGATGAAAAGTATAAAGGGTTACTATCATGATTTTGATAAGGGTAACTCAGTAAACATATGAATCATACCAGTATAGTTTTTAGAAGAAATTGATTACTGTAAATAATAAAAGCTTTTTGATAATCTTAATAAAGATATGGTTAGTCAGTTGTATATGAAATGGGGAGAAAGTCCTTGGTATATTTTATAGGATACTTCAAATAGTAATATTCAAAGTAATAGCAGGAAGAACATGAGTCATATACTTGTTCATATGTGGACACACATTCTGGAGGATAATGTTTTGAAAAGTAAGAAAGCACTGTAAATGAAAGCGAGGTTGAATATATTTCTGAAGAATACTATACAAAAATAATTATAAAATTTACATCTGACTATGTAGGAGAAATTATATATAAGAGGCTCAAAAGTTTAATAATAAGATGATTACAGGTGGAAGTAGAAGCATGCAAAGCAAGTGAAGAAAGTATTAATAATGCATACTTTGGTTGCTATTTTGAGCTGGTTGTTCACCAGATATTTCAAAAAGGGGGATCTTTTTGTGTTTGTTTCTAGAACTGGTAGTGATTGAAATCTTTCTATTACATGAAGATTTTAATAAGCAGAATAAGATACTCAAGTTTCTTGATATTGCATTGATTGAAAATGGTAAATACTATCAACTAGATAGTAAAACTTTTCCTTTAATTGATGCAATTGTTGCATCCAATAAGCTTTTTCGGATTACTATTGCTACAAATCATACTATTAAGGTGGTTGGCCTGAACTTGCTTTATGAAAAATTAGTAAGAAATCAAGAAATCACTTTTTAAATTGTTGTGCCAGAAAAGTTATATGCTAATTACCAAAAGCAGAATTTTGTTATTACTAATAATAATAATATATATTTTTAATAATAGTTTGATTAATATTAATGTTGGATTCATTTTATTAATATTGGAATTATTTTATATTAAAAATAGGATATGTAAGTTAAACCCATTAAACACTACTATAATATAATTCCTCCATATTATTTGCATATTTAGTTATTGCGCATAACAATATTGTACACACAAACTTTTATCACAAAATGTTTGTAATACCTTCAAATGGATGTGTATAATATATAGGATCTTTAGCTATTTTTGAGAAATAAACTATCACTACGTTTTCTAGTGCTATAATATTAATTTGGCATAAATTAATCATAATGTCTTCTATTGTGAATTTATTTTAGAGATTAGAACTATATACAATAAATCTATATATATAACTATAACAGTATATGGTGATAGATTGTAATAATTCTGTGATAACACTTATATATGAAATATTACAATTACTGTAATAATAAAAAATCGGATTAATAGTAATCTAAATGAAAACTTAACAGAATCGAATTGTAAATTAAGGTTACCTTTAATCGAAATTATTCTTTTTTTTTCTTTTGATCTCCTTTCTGCATCGCACGGTAAAAACTTTTTTCTGAAGTGTTTGTCTTCCCTCTCCTCCCTCTCTGGTTATCTTGTGTGGGAAGGCATGACCAGCTAGGATAAAGCTTATTGATTGCTTTTATATCACCCTTGCTTAATTTTACACGTTGACCTGTGAGTGGAAAGACAGAAGTAGAAATAAAAACCGATTTTAGAATTTGGTTTTTTTACTCCTGGCTTCACATCCATGCATAAAGTCAAAGGATAATGCATTATCGACTCAAAGTCATATTTAGAATAACGCTTAACGTTAGATGACTTAAGTTTTTTATAGTTGCAATCTCCGTTTCGGCGAACAACCACATACTTGTCTCTGACAGGACAGGAATGCTAATAAAAAATAATGTATGTACATTTATAAAATGAACTAGTACTAATAATTTAACTACAATACTTTTTTAAATATTCATTATAATTACTTCATGGAACATTCCACAAGAATGGAGTAATTTGTGTATAGCAGAACCAACTGGATTTTGCCAACCTGTGGTAACTGATAATTCCTACGAAATGAAAGAAGAGTGAGATAACGATTGGGAATTAAGACAAAATATGCTTAGTAATTACCTGTTTTCCTCCTTGTTTTCCTATCATTAGTCAAATAAAAGGCAAAAGGGCAAAAGAAACATAGTTATTATCGTTAATATTAAGATATAATTAAGATACAAGTAAAAAGAGGTAAAATATACAAACCAACAGAACTTCAGTAGTCACCTTTATCAACAATTTCTATAAAGTGAAGTTGATCCGTTCTCTTCACAAATCTTATCGAGCTAACTTTGCTAATTTCTTTCATTGCAATTTCAACATATTGTCGAAGATTATTAATGACTTTATTATTAAATTCATAAGGTATGATTCCATTCTGCCATAGCATATGGGGATCTCTAATGTAGACGTCTGAATTCAATTCACCCATCTTTTACTTAACTAGTAGGTATAGTTGATAACAAACAAGGTTATCCGAAAAAAAGAAAACGGAAAGAATGGGGAAGGGCATTCATTATTCGCCATTTTATATTTTTTTAGGGTACTAAATGTTTCTAGTGAAAACTTGAAATGTTGCGTTAAAACTCGCATAAAAAAAAAGATCGGCGGAACCAAATTTTATAAAGTGCTGTCATCAAAATTTACTTAGTAATGTACAATTCAATGCTCGTACATTTGAATCTTTAACGTTCATTTTATGGCGATTTATAAAAGAGCGAAAAATAAGCAATAAAGAATATGCTTTAATAATAACGAGTAATAGTAAATCATATGTAATGGGGATTAAATGATAGATTAAGGAGGAGTATCATAATAGGAATGAATAATTAAGAAAGAGTAATAAGAAGTAAAATTCATGAAATCAGGTAATTTATTGTGTATTAAGTAGTACAAATAAATCTGCATATTTTTATGAAACTCAAAAATTACATCATTAGTGAATATTCATTCATTAAAATGTCAAATAACTCTAAATCCACTGCCACTTCTTCTTCTCAACTTTCCTTTCAAGATAATACTACTATTTCACATGAGCATAATATAGAGGGACAATTTCATACACCTACTTACACTAGAAAATCAACTAGACGTATTTCTCAACTTGAACCTGATACTACTGCATTATGGGGTTGGTTTCTTTTATTTGCTGCTTATTTTATTTTTGTATTTAGTATGTATGCTATTGTTGTTAGTAAATTTGTTCCAGAAACCGGAAATAAGGTAAATTAAGTTAGTTTGATTCCTACTCATTTTTACTTGGTTTTTAAAAATTATTTATTGATTTTGTTTATTTAATATAGACGCTCGATTGGATCAAAAAGGATGAATATTATTGTCTTTTAGTTCCACTTACATTACCGGTAACAATATATGCAGTATTTTTTAATTGGTTGGGAATGAAATTCTTTAGACATAATTAATTTAATCAATTTTTTAAAAAAAGTATAACAAATAATATAATATGTAAAAATGACGAATTAAATAAAACTTAATAGTTTGTTATTATATTAGCATTTATTATTCCTATATTCAATTAAAGTTCATTACTTTGATCCCTCGTTGTTTATCTATATATTGAAATAAAATTACTGTGAATTTACTTCTTCGATATTTTTCCATAATACTTTCACAACCATCTCGCCATTATACCAAACCTCCTCATCATTCTTCTTTTGTACCATAGCAAAAGGTGTTAGTTCATCAATTTCATCATCTTGCCTATCAGGAGAATTACATCCGAAATCTTTAATTCTATGCATTAAATGAGCAGTAGCATCTTTTACTCTTTGTTTCATTTCATCATCCCGTTTATTAATTGTCCAATCTTCATGTTTAACCATTTGTCTTGCTTCTCTTGCAAGTATTTGCATAGTAAGTCGCGCTCTTGTATTTACAAAAGGTATATCTTTGTCATTATCCGCATTCAAACAACAAAGATGTTTCATTAAGTGTACGAAATATTCAACTGCGGTGGCAAATTGAACAAGTGGTGATATATGCGTAAGCTGTATGTATATCTTGCTGTTATCTATAGTATTAAATAAAGTGAATTGGCGACTGTATATCCAGAAAAAAAAATTTACGTCTGAACTTACTATACTTACTATCTTCACGCCACCTAACTTTGATGCCGTTTGATGTAAGACATTTTTGTGTGACCATATTCCACCAAATACCTGCACCACTTTCATCTGGTATTTGATCGAATGTAAGGCGCTTTAAACATTCAATTACTTGAACAGATCCGAGTTGCCTTTTTGTTTAAAAATCACAAATTAAAAGAAAAAAATAAAACACGAAAAATTAAAGATGTTATAATGAACCAAACGATTCTCAAAAAAAACTTACTCGATGGTCACATCAATAGGATTAAGCAATTTTCTAGTTGGATTTAATTCCGTGGAAGTTACCAATGTTTCTAAGGTGACTAATTCGCGTATTCTATCTCAATAAAGTAATTAATAGTTTATAAGTTAAAATAGAGCATTTAAAAATAAAAAGATTTTGCAAATAGTGATTCATACCTTTCTCCGTGCACCATTAAAATATCCATAAAATTTTCGTTAAATTTTCTTGTTACCGTCCACATCCCATAATCCAATTTATTGAAGCAAGATAAAGAATATCCAATTTGATTGCAAAAAGTAGTTTTATTTCTTTCCATGACCTTTAATTTATTAAACTTCAATTTTAATTCCTGATTAAGAACATCAGTCAATGAACTTGTAAGGCGATTATCATTTGCTGATTTTTTCTTAAGTTGTTGTAACTGAGCATTTACATTCGTGGCCATATTTTTATTATTTGTATCCTGTGAAATTTTTATAGCACCGGATTTAAGTAAATCATCAATTGTAGGTTGTCCTATTGCAATAGTTCGAACCCCCATCTCTTTCCTTTGTGATTGACCATTATTTTCATTATTCAACTGATTAGAGTTAATATCAACTTCAGATTCTGATTGCAAAATGTTATCATTTTCGTGTAATAATATCGTAGAATCATGACCTTCAAATTCGATTACATCGTTTTCAGATGTCTCAGGAGCAAAAACAATTCCCATATTATCATTCATGTTATCAATTCTTGGACGTTTATGTATAGGCTCTGCAGTATCATCATTGACGATGTCATTACTGACTCTTTTAGCCGTTGCATCATCCACAAAAGGATCATCAGAGTCAATCTCTAATTGTGTTCCTTGATCATTTCTAGAATTTGCAACGTTACCATGCGGACGTTCATATAAATTGTTTGTATGGGTAGTAGGTTGTAGCGCAATATCTCGTACAATAGATTTACTACTCGGAGGTGTTAATAAAAGATCTCCGGATTTCCTATTATTTTGGGGCAATAACTCGTTATTATAAGTATCTCTTGTTACATTACGAGATGGATCTCTCGAATCTCCAGAATTAAGATTATTGTAAGATGATAACTCCGTGTAAATGTGTGGATTGCGAGGTGGCGACCGAGTAAAATTATTTCCTTGCTCATCATCATCCTCGGGATTAATTGTTTGCGGCTCATCATAAGGCGGAGTATGCGAAATGTCAACATCTTGTGTTTGACAATTCCTTAACCAGTTATCAATACTTCCATCTTTAGTATTCGAGCTTTTATGATCGTTTTTCTTCGTGACATTATTTCTTTTTCTAAATTCATGATCATTCATTCTTTGTTTGACTTTATCGTCTCTAACTGGATGAATTTCTTGTCTCATATATTGCCTCATATCTTTACTTGTTGGCTTTTCCGTACTCTGAACACCTGAAATCATAATTAATGTCTCTGCAGCTTCATGATCGTGAATTGGTGGTGGTGTTCCAGACGCGCGTTGACAATTTCTATATGAAGATTCAGAATGAGAAGGTGAATATAACAATTGATCATCATTTTCAGGTAAATTATCCGTTTGCACGTATAATTCTGACGGTATAGTGTGATCATCTTTGATTAGATTATCGGATGTTTTTGTTAGAATTCTCTCTAATTGATCTACGGTTATTTCTTCAACATGAACATTTTCGTTGCTTAAAAAAAGAAATACCAAGTATTAATTATATATAAATTAAATTTTACTAAATCAGTATTAATGGTATTAATTACTCATTCATCTCATCGTCATCAATAACCGATTCAACAGGTTGATCAACATCTTTAGCAATGCTTGTATTTTGTTCTTTTTGTTGATTACTTGGATTATAAATCATTTCCAACAAGTTACTAACAGTTTCCACTAAACGTTCTCCATAATGAAAGAGCGCAACGTTCTTGCTCGGTTCAACATTAACTATAATATAATAATCACTTTGATAAGTGTTATTCTTAATGTTTAACAATACGTTGTTGTAATTGATTACAACGTACTATCATAAGCCCAAGTTGGTAATTTAATGTTAATCAACATAAATGGTGTCTTCGGGTTTCCTACATCATAATAAATATATGGAAATATTCATTAGTATAAATGGAGATGATCATAAATCCAACATTACTATTACGATGTTACCTTTCCATCCATTCTGACGTGCAATTTCATTGTAAACGGATTTTACCATTGATACAAGGCTTTTTGTTTCTCCTCTATTTGTTGTCACGGGTCGATTATTTACATAAATAAAAGTTTTCCCATTTTTGAAAATTATGTATGGGTCAGCATCAGGATTTGGCAAAACAGCTTCAAGGGTAATAATGAATTGTTGAGTATTATTAAGATTATTACTATTATTATCATCATCAACATTCCCATTTTCAGAGGTTCCAATTAATTCGGCATCTGAACTCCATACACAAAATTGAACATCATTAGCTAATTCACTACCGAAAAGTTTTATTATAGCATCCATCGTATTTTTCATAGCAGGTTGTATCCAATCACCCTCTTTAAATTTTATTTTTGAATTATTTTCATAAGTTTGTTTTAAAGAAAATCTTATATGTGGATGCGCTAATGCATAAGTTATTAAAATATTTTGAACATTTTTTCCTGTTGAAGTACTTTTTTGTGCTACTTGTCTTCTAACTGGAATATTTGAGAATAGTTTTACGGCTATAACTGTTGTTCCCGGACTTGATCCCATTGATTTTTCACTTTCAATATAAATTAAAATTTAATATATTAACCCAATTTAACGTATTACTTTTCGAAAAAAAAATGTGATGTTGCTTACTCCAATATCTTTCCAGAACGATCAAGTGTGTAAAGAGTTGCAACAGGATCATTTTCAGTTTTTGTAATTATTTGTGTCGATTCTGTCACAGCACAAATTGAATTAAGAGCCTCACCTTTTTTTTTTTTTTAAAAAAAAAAAGAAAGATAAAATAGATTAATCAATCATATTATGAAAATGATTTAACAATTTACTATTTATTCTTTACCTCGAAAACCATAAGTTTCCACAATGTTTAAATCTTCAAATTTATAAAGTTTTGAAGTATGATATCTCATTGCCATAGCTGGTCTATCACATTCCTGAATTCCTACACCATTATCCTTAACCTTTAAAAAGAAATTTAAAATTTCTACTTTAATATCTAAACGTGAATTATTGTAAAAAATAATAATACTTACGGTAATGGAAGTTAATCCGTCACCAACTAATTTAACTTCGATAGAAGTTGATTCTGCATCGATAGAATTCCTTTTTTATTATTATTATTTTTTTAATAAAGAAAAAAGAACCGTTTTTTTACTTTATATTTTAATGTGAAAAAAAAAAGTTGAAAATGTTATACGTGTAAAATCGTATATTTACTCGACCAGTTCTTTAACTACATCTTCTACTTTAGTGATAACTTGACCACTTGAAATTCGTCTTACAGTAGTATCATCTAATGGACGAATCATGATTATTAAAATTATTTTGAGAGAGAACGTTGAGAGATAATTAGAGTAAAAAAAAGTAACGCGTCTAAAATTTTATTGATTATCATGTCATGTGTCACACGATTTATCATAAAGGATAAAAAAAAATATATATTTAGTCGGATAGCAGTCCAACCATCTCACTCGGCAATCCTGACAACCAATCACTCAAGTGTGCAATCTCACTGCCACTGGGTGCTGCGAGTTTTCCCTGCTCTGTTTCCAGCCTCGGGCAATTCCCCGCTATTTAAGAACCTCCTAGCCCAAATTTACAAATAAGCCAGAATGTTCACACTAAGTTCAAATGAGACACTACCATCAACGTGCGGCGCCAGGGATTGTGGATCCAAATGAGGATTATTCCACCACCCTGTCCTCCAGAAGCAGAGCTACAGTCAACTGCCAAATTGACCGACATATGTACCTGTATGTGCAAGTTTATATAACCCTAAAATTTAAATTTTCAGAAAATTATGGGATTGATTTATTTGTATCACCACTGAATTTGCATCACGAATTTAAGCAATTTTATAGTGCTGGTCGAGTTAAAAGATAAAAAATTCATTTTTTAAAATATTTGTAGTATACCGAATTGATCTTTTTGTGAGAGTTTTTTTATTATTTTGAAGTAAATTATTAAGTTCAAACAGTCCAATTTAAAAGGAGATTAATACAAGTTTTATAACATAATTCGTCTTTTTTTTTTATGCTTTCATTTATACGTATATAACAGATAAAGGACGACCGACGATTAACTTTACACGTTTGATAGCATTAATGATTAACGTAATGTAAAATTTATGAAAAGTTTTCTTAGACAGCAAGTCAACAAACAACATTTCAAAAAAAGGTTCAAATCTTATAAAAATTGAGAGATATTCGAGAACTTCAAAAATTAATTTATTTATGTTTATTTTTTTTTTTTTTTTTTTTTTATTTCGTTAAATTAAATTTCGTTAAATTATTATAATCTACAAAATGCATTATACTATATATATATATATTTAAAAAGTTATAATGTTTATAATTCATCTCTAGAAGGTTTAGTAGGGTCAGATTCTTCTTCATCTTGTTCTTCAAATAAATCCGTGGTTTCAGTTTTTCCTTTATTTTCATCTTTGTCAGCTTCTTCCGCAGGTGTAACATTAACCTCAGCTTCCGCGTTAAGGTCAACTCCCAAATTTGATCGAATAATTTTTTCAACACGTGCGGCATATCTATATAAAATTATTATAATTAGTTTAAATTTTAAATTCACATTAAAAAAAAAAAAAAAAATTATAAATTTTTTTAAGAAATTTGTTTAGTTTTAAAAAAAAAAAAAAAAATACTTACTTTAAATTATCTTTAAGTGAATATCCAGATCGAATTAATGTAGTTTCATATAATACACGAACCATCTCTCTAGTATTTGCATCAAAGGACTCATTTTCAGCTTTATCCAATAATCCAATAATTAATGGATGATTAGGATTAATTTCAAGAATTTTCTTTTGTTTAGCATAAAACTCTTTTAATAAAGGATTTTCTTGTTTGAAAGGTTGAGCTATTTTTATAAACAAGTAACCAAAGTTTTTTATTAATTAATAATGATGCACACATAAAGTATAAATCAGTCCAGTTAAACAATTTTAAAATAAAGTTCAAATTCATTACCGGCCATAATCTTTTCCATGTGTCCAGTCCAACCCCAATCGGTAGCGACAACAGCACAAGGTGATGTCGTAAGACGTGCAGAAACTTGAACTACAAAGAGTAAACAAAAAATAAATATAACGTGGTAAGATGGATAAAAAAATAAAATAAAAAATAAAATAGGAAAATTTTTCTTACTTTTTTCAACTTGATCGCTAAGAGTAGATTGCATTTCATCAATCAACTTGGTGAATTTAGTTTTCAATTGTTCAAGTTCAGCCAAATCATCATCTCCAAATTTGAATTCACCTTTGGCAACATTTTTGAACATTTTACCACCATGACCGGGCATATGTTGAACCAACATTTCATCAATAGGTTCAACCATATATAAAACTTCATAACCTCTTGCAACTAATCCTTCAACAAAAGGAGAGTTTTGAACTTCTTCGACAGAAGCTCCGGTGATAAAGTACATGCTATCTTGTCCTTTTTTCATTCTACTAATATAATCATCAAGTGTGGTTGAATTTGATCCTTCATATGAACTTGGGAATCTTAATACTTGTGCTATCTTTTTACGATTTTTATTGTCTTCAATAGCTCCAATTTTCAAGCTCGTACCAAATTCACTCAAGAAGGTTGTGAATTTTTCTTCATCCTTTGATAAATCTGTAATTAAATCTAAAGCTTTTTTAATGACACGTTTCTTAATTAATTGAAGAGTTCTATGTTGTTGAAGGGTTTCACGTGACACGTTCAAAGGTAAATCATCGGCGTCGATAATGGCGCGAATGAACGCCAAATATTTTGGAACGAAATCAAGGAATTCATCGGTGATAAATACGCGTTTTACGAATAATTTCACATTACGAGAGAAATCTTGAACTTTTTGGTAAAGACCTTCTGGAGCTTTGCCTGGAATATACACGATAGACTTAAATTCAACTTCTCCTTCAGCCTACAAAATTAAAAGTTTTTTTATTAATAAAAAAGTTTTAATTTTTATTGTTTGGTGAACAGATGGTTTATAAAATTTATTACACACCTTAAAATGAGTCCAAGCGAGAGGTAAATTACTATCTTTCGCGAATGACATATAGAACTTCTCATATTCGAAATCAGTAATGTTCTTTGGATCACGAGTCCAAAGAGGTTTTTGAGTGTTCATAAGTTCCCATCCTGGTACTTCAATAGTTTTAGTTTTCCTTTCTTTTTTCTCTTCAGGTTTGTCAGCATCTTCAACTTCAGGTTGATCTAAATCATCATTTTCTTTCTTGTCATCAGTAGATTCTTTATTTTTATCTGCATCATCATCTAATTCTTTATACTCAACAACTTGAGATTGTGTTGTCCATAACCAAATTGGAAAATTAATAAATTCAGAATATTTCAAGATAAGACCACGTAAAGTACTATCCTCAAGAAATTCAAGAGCGTCATCTTTGAGAAATAATTTTATTTGAGTACCACGACCTAATGTATTTCCTCTAGGATCTTCAGCTATAGTAAAATCATTAACAGCTGTTGATTCCCAAATATATTGTTTATCTTCATTATTATTTTTTGTTGTAACAATTACTTTATCAGCAACTAAAAATACAGAATAAAATCCTACACCAAATTGTCCTATTAAATTCATATCAGCTTTATTTTCTTCAAAAGCATTTAAAAATTCTGATGTTCCTGATTTTGCTATTGTACCAAGATTTTCTATAAGTTGTTTCTTGGTCATTCCTATACCACTATCTGCAATTGTTAAAATTTTATTTTGTTTATCAGCCCAAATTGTTATGTTTAAAGTTGAAGCACCTTCTAATGCATTTGGATCTGTAAGTGATAAGAATCTTATCTTATCAATAGCATCAGAAGCTAAATTAAAATAAAAAAGTAAATAAAAAAAAAAAAAGAAAGAATTTTAGAAAGATTATAGTTGATAAAATAAAAAAAAATTGTGAATAAAATGAATAAAATAAATTATTTTTACCATTGGAAATAAGTTCTCTTAGGAAAATTTCACGTGTCTTATATAATGAATTGATGATAAGTTTCATCAATCGACTAACTTCAGTCTATAAAAATAATTAAAATAATTTGATTAATTAATTTGATCAATTAATTTGATCACCGATGAAAAATTTTATTAATTAAAAGTACGATCACCGATAAAATATAAATATATAATTATCTACCTGAAATTCAAATTTTTCTCCAGTAACTTTAATTTTTTCAGTTTCTTCTTCGGTAAAACCATAACTATTATCATCACCTTGAACAATAAATTTAGGAGTTTCAGAAGTTTCATTAACGGCTTGTTTTATTGAGTCTTCTTCTTGTTGTTCACCACTTTCTTCGGCTATAACAACATTATTATGTGAGAATAAGAATAAACTAATAAGACATATTAAAAGAAGCCAAAATTTAAACTTCTTCATATTAAAAAGAATTTAAAATTGAACTTAGGATGAGGATGAATTAAAGGATTGATTAATTGATTCCGTTATCTAATATTTCGAAATGAAAAATTTTATTGCTTTATATAATGTTTTGATTTGAAATTGTTTATTGTAATGTGTAAACAAATGATTGGATATGAATTTCCAAGTGTCTTTATCTGATTGGTTAGATTATTTTTGATTACATTCAATCAGTTCAATGAAACAGGAGATGTTAAAACGTGGCATTTAAAATTTTGTGGTGTTACCGTTTCGCACAAAGATAATTAAGATAATTTCCAGAATGTTCTGATAACAAAACATGAATTTTTAACAATAAAATTTTATAACTTTTTTCCTTGATTTTCTCTAAACAACTTGTACTATATCTCACTCTAAAAATAATTTTTTTTTTTTTACCAACTGCTTTCATCGTTTAAATAAATTAGTATAGCATTCAATCTCAAATAAAATCACATATTGGTGATGATGAATATGAATATACCATCTAACAACCACCAACTCCAAAGTTAGAGCGGGTACAGAATTAAAAAGTTCTCTTTATAGAAGAACTAAATATTCATTTCGATTTAAGAAAGAGAAGACTGCTACTGTAGGAAAGATTGGATTACTTTTTACAGTATATTGTTATATAGTCTGACCTCGACACCGACATCAGTTTCAAGATTTTACACAACAGATAATTGTTATTTTGATCGGTTATCTCATATTACTATGTATTAGCATAATGATAAAATTATTGGATAGTAACGGGAGTTTATTATAAAAATTGCATGAAACGGTCCCGTCAAACCGATAATATTATTATTGAATGATTTAAACCAAATAATAGTCTAATGCGGCACTACGTGCCGCTATTAGACTATTATATAGTTTTACATCGATAAAATTCAGTGTCGGTGTATTATATATCCGAGTTTTAACTGTATGCTAAAATATAACTTCGTTAATAACTTGAAATAAAAAATCGTCAATTATAGTTCCTTTAGAGTCATCAAAAAGATCATTTGCACTTTTTATTCATTATTTAATATACAATAAATATTACAGAATTACTATTTACACATATTCTTATTTATTTATTTATTTTATTTCTAAAGAGTAATAAACTGAGTTTGTTACAAATAAAAGCAGATGGTACTTGCGTACGAAATAACTAATATATGAGTACAAATCACAGGTATTCATCCCATACCGGACCCAACACCATCATACAGGACCTCACTCTTCGGTCGAAACTATTTGAAAAAGTAGGACTACGCTAATTAATCAAATTCTATTTACACATATTTTTTGGTCTTTCATTTTTACTCCAAAGTTAGAAATCACGGGAACATAACAATCAATACTATGTTTAATGCCTTAAAAAACAAATCTTTAATTTTAGCCAACATTATAACACAGGGATACAATTTTTAAAAATATCATATGATTTCATATTTTTTATTAATTGTCTATTAATAGTTCTATATATGAAATACGAATATATACATATTACTTCAAACAGTCAGTTTTTCTAAGTCAATATTTAATTCATATAATTCCTTACAGTTTATTCCTATAATTCCTTGCTTATTTAATCGATGATTCGCCAGTTTAATAACTGGTCAAAGAAATTTGCTTATTAATATTTAACTAATACAAATTTATATATATTATGTATAATACCTTTTTTTTCCCCGCATTTCTTGAATTTTTTCCTGAAAAAAAGAAAAAAAAAAAAAAAATTTGAGGAGGTGGCAATTTATTTTCTCCTCTTAAATATTGTTTATATTATAATGATTTGACTTTTTTTAGACACATTTTTTCGGATCCTTACAAAGCTTTGTTAGCTTTCCAATTGGGGATTCATAGCAAAATTCTCCGTAAATAAAGAACTGGAATCCAGTAAATCCCAGTTAACCAGTTAGTTTGGTTAGCTTTTGATTATCATTAGCATTTTTGTAAATTACTACTTAATTTCTAAAAATATAATTATATATTACAGTAATATATCATATCAAAAAAAAATTGCATTTATTGAAAATGGTTTCATATTAAAAAAAGGAAATAATAATGAATGCTACTAAACAAGTTTTTAAGTAATTTTATAAAATATATAATTCAAGTAATAATGGCGTACTAATTACGTAAAAAGTTTACTGGTATATAATGACTGACCTAGCATGACATATTTGTGAACTTTAAACTGAATAAAGTAATTACATATAAATAAACAATTCTTAAATTTAGCCGAAACCCAAAATTTTTTACCGGACTAGCATTCATTTATCTTATTATAGAAAAAAAAACGGTGAAAACTGGAAAAAAAAAATATAGTTAAGGCTGAATATTGACATGCATAGAATTTTTCACTTTCATATTTAGAATCTAGACGAACAATTCTTGATAATCGAATCTCTCAAGATTCTATCAATCCATTTCCAAAAAGTCTTAGCTTTCTTATCAAAATAATTTCATCTCCACAAACATCGCACTTTTTTTGGATGTTTCCCTAGTTTATTATTATTTTGACTTGCCAATTAAATTTTTTTTGTTACAAATGAATGAATGAATGATAATTTTTATTAAGACTTCCAACTTGCATGCATGCATAGAACGAATTATGAGCAATTTGACAGGATTACAGAGCATATGTAAATACATACTTCATGCTTTATTACATAATAATATAAAGATAAGATTACTTCAAATTTTTCGTATCAAAATTTATAGAATTACCAGTTTTTTCCTGTCTTTTTTTAAAAATTTGTAATTGAAATGATGAAATGATCGTCATTAAAAATGGCGATCTATCTTATGTTATCAAGTAAATAGTAAATCCTTTCTATCCTTTCTTTAATTTTTTATTCCTTGAAGTACAAATAAGAAAATACTATTTTCTATAAATATTATTAGTTAACAATAAATAAAGATAAGAAAAAATTGTAATAAGAAAACCAAAATTTGTGATTAATAATAAAAATAAAAGTTATATGAATTAAAAGTCTTGTCAGAAAATTAAATTAATTAAAGATAATTAATTAAGAAGAAAATTAATGCTCATTCTATAATCTTGATTTAAAAAAAAATTAATTGACATTCGGTAATTACGTGGAATGATCGGCATACCAAGAGCGACGACACTATTGAAAAACGGTTATATAATTTTAGCAATATGCATGTTGTCGATCTACATTCATAATTCAAGAAATAATACATACGGAGGAGGAGGAGGGGGAGGAGGGGGAGGTATTCTTTGTCGTACAACTGTTAAATGAAAAAATAAATATGCTCGTTAACAATTTGCCAATAAATTCATCTTATAATTGTATATCAGATATATTTTGAATTATTACTAATAACTTTCATATGTTTTGAATCTACCAATCTAACTTATTAAATATTTTGGTACTTACAATTTGCTATTCCAAGTTCCAGGTACCTAGAAATACATTATTAAAATTAGATCGTATGTCGATTTATTTGCCAAAACTATGAATAATAAAAACCTTCTCCTGCATTGCTTTGCAGTTCTTGTCCCAATCCTATTTGCGATTGCTTGCCAATTTCTAACACCCAAATCATTGACACTTGACATGAGATCTCTCACTTCCTATATAAACGAATTAAAAAATCTTAGGTTAATCTGTATATATATATATATGTATGTTAAAAGAGAATAATATGTGTATACTTGAGAAGTCCAAATTCTGCTCATATCGTACAATAATCTGCGTACAAAGATATTCTTAGAAGCAATTTTACTTTACAGTTAGAAAGCCTTATTAAGAAAGCCTTATGTAATTAATATTCGATTTATACTACACACGTAAATAATTTCTTGAAATTATTTTTTTGAAAGCAATCATTAATTGATTATTTAAGTACTTTTTTTTTCAAAAAAAAAAAAAAAAAAAAAAGGGACCAAAATTCAATATATATGACATCTTGCAACGTTTTTGTTTACGCATAATGCATCTAAAATTGCCATATATCGTTTCAAAAAGGTATATAAATTATGTAAGCTTTTAAAATATATACAGCTAAAGTCATACGATAATTTAAAGTTACCCTGAAATTCTGGGGTAAAAACATTATAATTTATATCAACTTTAATTTTTTTTTTGGAATTTGGCGTTTAAATAGAAAAATATTTTTTAATTATATTTTATATAATTACGTAGTTAAACTTTAATTTTTTATTATAGCTCAAATATAGTCTAGACTATAATTCGAACCAATAAAAAAAATTTTTTTTTTCTCATTGTCATTAATTAAATTTAATGTGAAGTTTAGCATAATTTCGCATTCAAATTAATGTGATTAGGTAAGTTCTGCATACTTGGTATTTAGTTTAGCATATGATCTGTCAAACAAACAAATTTTGTAGCCACAAGCCTAGAAGCATATCGGTAGAGTTCCGACAAACTTATCTTTTATCAATAATTTTTTTTTTTTTATTTAAATTTTTTTTTTTTTTTATTTATCCCAATTTCCTCTTTTTGAACATACTATAAATCTTACTTTATTTTTGGATTAATTGAAGACGTAGTTGTGTAACAAATAATAAAAAAACAAATGATATCAATCGACGATAATCATTCTCCACAAAAAACATTAGCCTTTTTTATTTGTTGAATTTTGAGTTTTGAAAGTGAAAAAAGGAAAAAAAAGGAAAAAATTTCTTATCATAAAATAAATATAAACATTCTCTTATCTTATCTATAATGGTTAGTCCGTACAGCCACCTCCACCCAATATTATCCTTTTATAGATGTTTTTGAAGTTCTTGGTTTTCTTATCATTTAAACGGGCTTTATCCATCCTGCATGTATGCACAGTTATAAAGAATTCAAACAAAAATATTTAAGGATAATCTCTTATCTCGTCCAATTGTTACGGAAACACAGAAACGTGCGCTTCTAACAACTAAACCATATATCCATTATCGAATAATTATGATCTAACCTTAGATTAAAAACTGGGAACATTTTTGTCAGACCACCGATTAATAATTAGATTTTATGAACTGCAAATTTAATTCTTTGAGTGACATAGTAGCCTGTGAAACCTATTATCAAATAGAAGAAAATTTTACCACACCACATTCCTATCAATGGAAAGAATGTTCGTGTTACCAAATTTATGGCGAACTGACTAGTAAAATTATTCTAAAGATTTTCATTTTTTTTTACCAATCGAAAATTTTTCATATCAAAATATCATAGCAACAAAGCCATTTTCCGGATCTCTTGTCTATTCCCATTTATGGTTTCATTTAGATAATCTCAAGAAACCTTTCATATGGCAATTTTTGATTTTAGAGATTTCAAAAAAAAAAATTTTTTTTGTTATTTAAAGGACATTTTCAAATAAGCAACATAATAATAATAATAAATTATAATTTGTGATAACAGATAATCTATTTTAAAATCGCATGCATGAGAGACCTTCTTTATAATCGTAATAAAAATTTTTACCTATAGTTAATTATTATAAATTGATCTTATTTTAAATTTTAGCAATCAGGCAACGCAAGTCAAATATGTCAAAAATATTTCCTAACGAAATTATAGAATTTAAGTTATAATATTATAAGTAATAGCTGTAAGAAATCGAAATTATAAAACAGATATTACAGTATAGTGTAACCATCCGCGAAACACAGTATCACGATTTTTCAATATTGTTAAGCTTGTGCGACAAATTGTCATGGTGCGACGTGACATGGCAGTTGTTATGGCAGTTGTTTTACATTATTATAATTTATAATTTATATTTGTACGTGTGGCTAATTGTTAAGTACGTAAAAAAAAAAAAAAAAACAGGTGAATGTATATAATGTATATAAAATTGTATTTCGGAGTGAAACGTGATACAGTACGTGATGCCCGAGACTTTTGTACTACATTTTATTTTCATTCATTGTTTTTAGTTTAGGGGATGATTTTTAAATTTCATGATTTCGTGTAAAATCAGTGAAAATGGCGATGATAACTTTATTAATATATTGAAAATATTTTGCCATATCTGGAATATACTAGTAATATATAACGTCCATGATATCATATCTGAAGTCATCCAAACTGTTAATAATTTAAACGGTTTATTTATTTATTTTAAGATAAGACTGTGGAATATGTAAATATTTGTTTGTTAAATAAAAATATTTCGCAATTATTTTTTAAATAAAGGCGTACACCTATTAATTCATCTTTTTTAAGAGCATTCATACAACTTAATCTTATATTAATAAAAATCTATATTCATAAAGAGGATTCTTAAATAATTATGCTTAATATTATTTAAATGAACTATAATGTTAATGTTAATACATAACAAACATAACATAATGATATATCTTTTTAATTTCATAATATGATGTTTCCTATCTCAGTATATGAATCTATTATAAAATTAATATTCATCCTGTGGTCTGAATTTATAAGAAAATTTATTAACAACCTTGAATTACGAGGTGCCAATGAAGTTGGATGAGCATAACTGAAAAACAATATTTATTATTTTATATAAGTTAAATCATTATAGCATGTAAAATCGTCACAATCCTTTTGATATGAAAACTTACTTTTGAGGAATAGGTGGAAAAGGTCTTCTTATGGCTTTAAAATAAGAGATACACTATTTTATTATTAAACGTTAATCAAATAACAATAATACATATTTACATTTATTTATCAAAATTTCACTTACTATTTGCTCTCACAAGATGACGGTATCTATAATATTTAAAATTAAAAATAAGATAAATATAAATATAAATATACAGCAGGAATTTTTTTTAAAATCAATTTTTTCCGATATTTTCCGATATTCCGATTTTTTAATAAAAATGATATGAACCTTTTCCTACACTGATGCGCGTTCCTTGACCCAAGCAGAGATGAAATTTGTTGCCAACTTCCAACCGCACCAAACTGATTAACCAATATAACAAGTCTTCTTTCTTCCTAATAAATTTAATAGAATAATAATTAGAAATGAATAAATTAAAATAAAAATAAAAAAATACATCAATTTTTAAATAAAAAATATATATATATACATCGAGAGTCCAGGGACCTTTACGTAATGTGCGGGTAATTTGCATTTTTAAATGCAAGAAGTACGTAAATTTTAAAATTATAATGAATGACTTTCCCGATCAAGAAATTCAATAAAGAAGAAAGTTCAAATTTTCTTCTTAAAAAAAAAACCTGAATCTGTATAAAATTCAAATTTTCTTTTTAAAAAAAAAATCTGAACATGAAATAAAATTCTTAAAAAAATTTTTACATCTTGTCTTTTATAACTTTACATTTTTTTTTTTTTTTCTTTAAAATTTACGGGTAATATAAAAACATATTCTCGAGAATTAANAGCCCGATTGACTAAAATATATAATAAATAAAACTTTAAAAAAAACAAAAAAAAAATAATCTTTTTCATGTGGCAAATGCCAGATTTCATAAAAAAAAAAAAAAAAACGTCGAAGATAAAAAAGAAAATGGTCTAATCGTTAAAAAAAAAAAAGAAAAATTATAATAATTGTAAAAATATTCAGATTTTGCCAAAATTTTATGCCAAATACGATGCGATGCGATGCGAAAAAAATGTTTGTGTTTGTAATGCTTCTATATAAATGTTAATAAATTCTAAGTCCAAGAGAAAAAATTTTTATATCAAAAAAGAAAATAAGAAAATAAGAAAATAATAATAATAATAATAATAAGTAAATAAACTAAATCGATAAAAAAGAGAATAAAACTTAAAAAAAAGTATTATAATATATGAATATTAAAAAAAATTATTTGCAAACGACACCATTAATACTATCAAACATGTTATTAGTATTAAACATATCATTATGATGATAACCCCAAGAATCGATATTAGTGGAAGTGGAATCCATTACTCCGCCATAATTATTATTATTAGAGAAAGAAAATCGTGGAAGGAAAGAAGTGAATTTTCCAATATTTAAACCTCTTGAAGTTGAGGTTTCTGTTTCTTGTTGTTGTACGGGACAATATAAATCATTATTTAAGATATCAGTATCTAATTCGGTTCTTGCTTTTTTATCTTCTTCTAAATGACCTCTATTTTCATGATAAATATTAATTGGGGCACCAAGTTCTTCTTCTTCAAAGTAATTAAAGGATGCAGATAAAAGAATTCTTGGGTTATATTGTTGAGAAAAGATTTGAGATTCTGAGTTATTAACAGATAACGAAGAAGCTCTGGAGCGTAAGAAAGAAGGTTCATTATAAGAAGATGATTTAGAAGATGATTTAGAAGTTGTCATCATTGCTGAGTTCATTTTTGCTAATTTTAATTTGCTTTAAGAAAAAATTAAAAAAGTTTTTGAATTTTTTTTTTTTTATGTAAAAAAGACTCGCGTTACAAATTTTATTTGTTTACGAAAAAAAATATTTTTTTTTTGTTAATCAAATTTGATAAATGAGGATTGGGTATTTATAAGAAAAATATGCTCATAATATCAATATAAATTCCAATTTTAAAAATTTAATATAAACTTACTTGATCTACATAAATATTTACATTATAAACTAACATATTACAAATAAATGTTTAAAAATAGCAAACATTGTTCATAGAAAAATGTGGCGGATGGGTTAATTTATATTAATATCCCTATATGGAAGGATAAACACAAGTACGAAAATATTTTTGGCTTAAAACGTTTCAACAACTTAATTCTAAAAAAAGATATATGGTATCATTTACCATCATATAATTACTGTGCGGACTGCGGGGAATTGTTTTGAGGAGTTTTTATATAATTATATTATTTACCCTCATAATATAATATTTATTAAAATAACAATTTCAAAAAGGTCATAATAAATCGGAGAAGAAATTCATTAAAAGAATCTCCATGGAAAAATCTCGCTTATTATTATTTAAACAACTACTTAAACAGGTTTTTTTTATTATTATTAACTTTGGATAATTCTAGTGTAATCGATTTTCGAAGATCCTTCCATATTAATTCTATTATTTTAATTGATGATTATCCTTTTTTCCTTTTATTCAGGCATCTCTTATTTTTTGAATAAAAATAAAAAAAAAAAAAAATTTTTTTTTTATTATTATTAAATCAAAGGATTCATAGTCATCATAATTATAATTTATAAATGTGCAGAGAATTTTAATTTTAGTTTTCTTTTGTTTCAACTTTCAAGATTGAAATAATTAATTAATAATTATAAAAATTATAAATATTGCATCATAAAATCAAAAATCTGTAACGTTATATTACCTTAATTATAATCTCCTTCCTTCTTTCGCTTGATCAAATTATTAAATATAAAGTTTAATTAAACGAATTTGTTATTTTTAGATGTTTGTACTTGTATTGATTGATTGATTCAATCAAATTATTCCTGATTATTTTTTTTCGATTTCTTCAAGGGGTTTCTCGAAACAATCGGGATATCCGATAATAATAATAATAATAGTAATTCATATATACAGTTCACTATTCTTTTCTTTAGATAGCATTCGAATTCCAATTTTATCATGATCCAAAATGATAATCGATTAAAATAATTTGATCTATAAAATCTAGAAAACTGGGAACTTCCTTTCACGCCAAACTTTATATTTTTAAAATCGATTCATGAATGAGAATTTCTATTAGATATGACCTACTTTAAAAAGAATTTAGAATTTATTTAAACTTATTTTAACTACTATTTTAAGCTAAATTAAGTTTAGTAAGATTCTATATTTTTCTTTTATCAAATGAAATGAAATTGATGAAAGGCGTAATCTCCTTAATATTAATTTGGTGATTAAATAATATATTATCCTTTATTATTTTTAGGAAAAGTGGTTTTCTCTAGTTCTTTTTTAACTAAATCATTTTCTCTTTTATTTTTAACCTCACATGATCTGCCCCTTTCTAATCTATATATGGCAATTTCACCCCGTACAATTGTATCATGGAATTCTTATGGTTAATTCCTCGGTTATTTTTCTTTTTCTTTTGAGTTACCGTGTGCGCTTTATTATATTTTTAACAAACACAAATAAAATGTGTAACTTTTTTTACTTTTAGTTATGATTTACACGGATATTTTTTGAAACCGCGGATATACACTTTGTTATTTACTTTGTTATAAAATTAATATAATATATAATGAAATTTTTATTATGATTTTCCATATTTTCTTAATTATATCAACGGTTTACTAAAGAAATATGAAGCACTGTTACGTAAAATTAAGTTATTTTAATATATCTTGCATACATTATGTTTTGTTCGTATCAACGGATCAATGTTCCCTCAAACAACTTATCCTTATATTTTAAAAATGATACGATATTTAGGGTTTCATCTTTTTATTATTAGAAAATGCCATAAAATTCCCTAAAATGCCCTATTTATAATCCAGTTTAAACCCAAAAAAACCTTTCTTATGATATACGTACTGTCTAAAATTTTCAAGAAATATATATATAAATATCGGTGTTTTACCGATACTTTTAATCCATTTTCATGTTATACATTATAACAGGTATTAGTTACAGTTATATTTAGAGAAGTTCAACGGAAAAATATTAATTTTTTTATTTTTTTTTAAAAAAAAATTATAAATTATAAATTTTATATCAATATTTTCTTACTAATTTCTTATACTTTTAGCGTTTTAACTTTATGATTTTCACAGGTTAGTGTAACAATCGATTTCTTGGTTCTTGGTTGAATTATGATTTATAAGCTCTTAACAAAACTCCCTCTGAATCGATGCTATGGCTTACACAAATACTTGGTCTTTTTTGTTAAGAATAGGTCTTTTCTATTGAAGAAAAAAAGATTTAATATACACTAGTTTAACACAAATATCAGAAAGTTTAAAGTGATTCAGACAAGTTGGATGTCAAGTAATGTCAACTCAAACTTACTTATTTCAAGTAATTAAACTAAAGTGTATAAAAATTGATTATATTTTTGTTAAATAATAATGAATTATTTGCATTTTACTGTTGAGAATAACATCTGATCCATCCAATTTAGAGACATAAAAATACTGCAATTAGATGCATCTTGATAATATGAATTCATTGAATCATAAATAATTAAATTCTGATCACTGGTTATTGAAATAATGTGATTTAACTTTATGAAGTAATTCATTTTTCATCTTTAAAAATTTAGCAAATACAAATTTCATAACATTTTCTTCCCTATTAAACCTAGTAAGATGAAATATGACTCATTAGATTTGTCTTGTTAAGGTACATTGTATCTATTATTTTCATGTCTCTAGGATTGATGGATCAAAAGTTATTTGCATTTTACTATTTTTAGACATTCAACAATAACTTCTGATCTATTGAATTTACAGACTTGAAAATACTGCAGTTAGATGCGTCTCGATTAGACGAATTCAATGAATCATAAATCATTAAATTCTGATCACTGGATGTCAAAATAATGTGATTTAATGGTCATTTTTTAGAAGTGCCAGATACTTTTGGCAGGTGGGTGTAGATACGTATTTTCAAAGTTCAAACTTTATCTATTTTTTTTTTTTGAAAATACTTTAACTTACTTTTTCTGGTTAACCAAAATGCATTAATATTCTCAAAATGTAACTATGTAAGTACGTAACTCAATATCCCTGAATACTCCTGAATTTAAAACTGAATTGTTGTTGACGAAATATTTTGCGCTTATTTTCATTATTTCATTTTTCGTTAGTCGTTTATTTTTAATATTTTAGGTTCCTAATTTTTCTTTGATAAAATGACAAGTTCAGAACCTTCAGAAAATCCAAGAAAAGGACGTTGTTTTACAGAGGTGTGGAATGGACATATTATAAAAGGAGTATAGAGGACAAGAGAGCACTACGCTGAGACATGTAGCTATTGTAACTTTTATTGGAAGGATAGGAAACCTCACATTTTACGTGAGCACTTAGCAAATCATTGCCGAAAATGTCCACAAGAAGTGTCATTACAGTTCGCAAAAATTGTAGGTAATGAAATAGCAGAGAACGAAGAAGAAAATGAAAGCGACTCAGAATTAACAACTAAAAAACAAAGGCTCAATGATGACCAAACATCTATCCGATCTTTTTACAAGAATAAAGAATTAGAAAAAGGTTATTGTGATAAAATAAATCGTTCCATAACAAAAGCTTTCGTGATGTGCAATATTCCTTTTAGTATAATTGAAAATCCTTGGTTTATCGATTTGATCAAAACTTTACAACTAGGATATGATCCTTTCTCAAGGCAAGTTTTGAGTGGTACTTTATTAGAATCTGAAACATCTCGCGTAAATATACGCATTATGAATGAATTAAGTGCTAACAATAACTTTACTATTGGTAAGATTTTTTAATTTAAATTAAAATGAAGAAATTTTTGTAAAATATTGACAGTTTTAATATGTATTTATATTCATTAGCGATAGATGGTTAGATCGATTGACACGGGAATAGCTTTTGAGCATTCATGGTAATGACTGGGTCAAGGAAAGAATATCTTTTAAGTCTTGAGGATCTTTCAAATATTCGCCATACAGGAAAGCATTTATCTAACGTTATTAAGAAAGTTATCAATAAAGTGCGAGCCAAAAAGTTTGTTGCTATTGTGTCAGATAATAGCTCGAATGTTGCAGCAGCATGTAAGATAATTACCAACAATTACCCAAATATCATTAATGTGCGATGTATCATGTATTGCGTAAATCTGATAAGTATGTCTATTGTAAAAATAGATGAAGTTAAATATATAGTGAGATGTGCAAACATTCTCACAAAATATTTTAAAAATTCTACTCTTGAATCATCATGGCTCAATAAAGCAATCAAAAGTAAAAATATTGAAGGCAGAGGGCTGAAAACTTACGTAAAAACAAGATGGACGACTGTCTATGAATGTGTATATTCTGTGTGGAGATTAAAAGATGCTTTACAGCACGTATGTTAATAAGATGAATTATTTTTTTTTTAAAAAAAAAAATTTAATTTTATTTAAATTAGGTTCTGAAAAATCACGAACACAAAATTTAAGGGTTTTTTGACAATGTTTGCGTAATATCAGATATTCTTAAACCGATAAAAGAGGCAATTCTTATGCTTGAAAGAACGTATACTACATTGGCAGATTGTTACCTTTATCTCCTTAGAATTGCAACTTTTTTTAAACAAATGCCAATGAATGATTACCGCTTATTAAAGAATTCTTGTATTAAATCCTTCAATGAGAGGTAATATTCAAAATAATTTTAGTTTAATAAAAAACTAAATAACTGAAGTAAGTAATCAAATTTCTTTAATAGATACAAAGAATTTGACGAAGATATTTACTTATTGGCTTTCTTTCTCCATCCGCAATATAAAGGTATTACTAATATAAGAAAAA